TTCCCTCCCTCTGGAGATGGTTCAGCTCCTGCCAGAGGAACCCCTCACACCCTCCAATCCCATCCCATCAGGAATTCATTATGGGCAGGGAGAAGCCTTTATTTTCTGTTTGGTTTAGTCTTTTCTCTGACCTTATCAGACATCGACAAGGGGAGGAAGGAGAGGAAGGAGATGGGAGTCAAATTCCAACCAATCTCCCCCTCCAACCCACCCCCATTTCCCTCCCAAACCAGCAGCTGTGTTTTCTCTGAAGGTTATCACACCAATTTCAGTGACCACAAGGTAATATTCTTACATCAACATAAAATAAAAATCACATCTGACAAAAATCACTCTGAAAATAATAATAATAATAATTATTATTATTGTAATAATTCACCTACGCCCACAGTTGGAATATTCCAACTGTTCAAACCCAAAATTATTGGGTTAATAAGACAAAGTAAAAAAAAAAATAAACCACCAATTTTAAATCATACAAGTTATAAATCTTTACTACTGAGTAATACTGGGACTTTTATCCCACTGGCAGCTCACTGGGATCCTACTTTCCAGAAAAAAGAGCCCTGGAGGGTGATTTCCAAACCTTCTGGCCCCAAACAGCCCCAGTGACAGAGTGGGAACAGTCACAAGCTGACAGGAAACCCTGAGTAATTTGTCTCTCTCTTAAATGCAGGAAAAACACCATCCCCTGAATTTCATTTACTGCCCAAAAGTGCTTCTAAGAAATGCAGCAAATGTGGTTTTTAAGCACAACTTGGTGAGGCTGAACGATTCCAGGAGAAAAGGTGGTGGGGAAATGAAGGCCCCAATAAAGTCTCCCCCCTTGTAAACCACTATCAAAGTTGTATATACAATTATGACCTGATTTATGATTTATTGAACAGATTTCTGTAGCAATGTGGGGAAGGACAGTAATTAAAGCTACACTTAAAAACCCACACATATTCTTAAATGATTTCTTCATCTGATCAAGTCCCACAAGCAAATGTTCACCTGTTCAGTTCTAAATCCAGTGTTTTTCTAGCCCATTTCCTATGCAATTTTTCTGAGATATCAGTTCTTTTCACAGCCCTGACGGACATATTCACGTTTATATTCATTTTTGAGGTAGTTTATTGGTAAATACAACAACCTGGGCTTTGTGGGAATGAGGAAAACACCTCCCCAGCTACACATCCCTGTTTAACCCCCCCAGTCAGTCTGTGAACTCTCCAAGTCCCCAAGTGTTTCTGGCTGAAGCCACTTTTAAAGTCCACAGTCATAAAAATGAACCTATTCAGTAAATCTGTAACACAGAAAAGCTGAGTTGAGATCTCAACATAAAGATTTTAGTACTATTCTCTCTGATTCAGTGCAGCTAAAAGTCACCAGGATCCTACTGGCTCCTACATCCGTGGCCAAAGCAGCCTCTTCCAGGCAGGAACTGGGGGCTGGAATGTTCAATCCCTCCCCTGACCCCGGCTTTATAAACCCCACAGATGCAGTGGAGAGCTCACAGGACACCCCGTTCTGCCTGCAGCCAGGATTCCCTCACGGCACAAGCAGCAATTCCCAAGGATTTCCCAAGTATTTGCTACAGTTCAGTGTCTTTTCAGCCCTAAAAATGGGGAGGGAAAAAACCCCAAACCAAACCCAACCCCCCCAAATTCCATTTCACTGTTGTGTTTTCTTGAATCCTCAGCTGTGAGACCTCCAGAGTCACTCACTGAATATCCCAATCCACCAGGATCAGCCAGTGCAGCTCCTGCTCCTGTTCAGGGCACCCCAAAATCCCCCCCTGTCCCTCAGAGCATTGTCCAAACCCTCCTGGAGCTCTGGCGGCCTTGGGGCTGTGCCCACTGCCCTGGGGAGCCTGGGCAGTGCCCAACCACCCTCTGGGGGAAGAACCTTTCCCAAAATCCAGATTAACCCTCCCCTGGCACAGCTCCAGCCGCTCCCTGGGTCCTGTCCCTGCTCACAGGGCTTCCTGATCAACCCCTTCCTTCACAACCACCACAGGGACACCTTAGAACAGGAAAACAGGCAAAGACCTTCTAATGCATTTACAGACCCAGTCTCTGAGCACCAACAGCCTCTCTGCCTCCTCAAGGCACAAACACTTCAATCCCACCCCAGGCTCCTGCACCATCAGGTGCTTCCAGACTTGGACACAGGTTTTGTTTAAGGTCTCTCAAGCACAAAGCACGAGGCAGTTCCCAGCAGCAGCTCATTGACAGAGGCTCAAGAAGCAACACTCACTCAAAGGGCTTTTGGCCGGTTTATTGCTGGGTTTGGTTTGGGTTTTGTCGTCTTTCCTCCCTGTACCCAGCAGAAAAGCCCAGCAGCTGGAGGCTGGGGGAGAACCAGCAGGATCTTACATAATATCCAAACGTGCAGAGAACTGAGCACGGGGAGGGGAGAGGAGGGATGGGACAGAATCCCAGGGACAGGAGGGATGGGACAGAATCCCAGGGACAGGAGGGATGGGACAGAATCCCAGGGGCTGTGTCCACGTGGGGGGCCCCAAGCTCCATCACTGACACAGCCAGAGCTGCTGCTTGTCCAGGACATCGGGGTATTCCCAGCTCTGGGCCCGATCCTGCAGGAATAATGTCTGGGAAGGGGATGGAGCCGATGAGCCCAAGTGTCCAGGGGGGAAAATGCTGAGCACAAGGGGTGTCAAGAGTAGAGCTGGGAAGTCCCTCTGGTTGTGGGCTGGATTGGGATCCCAGAGAAACCACCCTGGGAAACAAACCCTGGGTCTGTTCCTGAGGCTGGGTCTGTGCAGAGGCTGCACTGGAGATTAACCCTGAACCTCCTCCCTCTCAGAGAGGAATTAATTGTTTTTAAGATTTATCAGCCCTAATCTAATCTAATCTACTGGCAGAACTGGTGCCTCCTCCATGTCAAAATACCAGCAAATTAATATCATTTACACAAGAAATAAAGTGGGGTTTTAAGCCCTTCACCGTGCTCTGTGCACTCAGTGATGGTCTCACCCTGTGTCACACTGACCCCTCTCCCACTTCAACCCCCTCCCTGCCCTGGATTTACACCCAAATCCTGGTGGGTTTGGGGAGAAAACAGTTTTATAACATCAGTAACTCCATGCAGTAAATCAGGCTGTCAGATTTGAGAGCAGTTTGCATCTGCCAGGCACAGTTTTGTATTACTGTCCTCTGCTGATGCAGTGACAGGATGACACCCTCGATGTACTCCTGTGTTGTCTTGATCTCAATCCCACACAAAAAGTACCAAAAAGAATGAGGGGGGGAAAAAAAGAATCTATTTTTTCCCCTCAGGTCACAACAAAACAAGTGACATAACAAAACCAAATAATTCTGGGCAGCTGCTTAAAAATGTCACTGAAAAAGAAGTCAGTTGTATGTTTTACTTAACTAATTTTCGGGGATCTTTTCAATAAGCAAAGAGTTCTATTTTATAAAGCATAAATAAGTTTAATTCTGCAGACTTTTATTGGGTTTCACAACGAGCCACCCCAGACACAACCACTCAGAACTCCAAAGGCAAAGGAAAAAAAAAAAGGAAATCCCAGAGAAGTGTTTCTTTGCCTGATCGTCAGGACGAACACAAACACAAACACATTTAGCAGCGCCGAGTTCCAGAAAATTGACAACAAGTACCACCGCATTCGATTATTTTTCTCCCCCCCCCAAAAAAACTCCTGTCAGAACAAGCCAATGCCATTTCCCAGGCAGCCTGGAAAACACTCCTGGAGCGCTATTTTACCTTTCTAACACCACTAATCCACACAATGCCCGCAGGAAGCGGGGGCTCCGTGCCCCCTGCACCCCCCCGGTGCCACATTCCGCCAAGAAAGCGAATTATGTGCCTTTCCACACCGCAGGATGATGCACCATTTCCTTCCAAACACCACCGCAGGCCCGAGACCCGGCTGGGAAGCGCCAGCCCCCCCCCCCCCGTTCCCCCAGGATTTGGGAATGTGCCCCCTCAGCCCCCAGCGAGGCCACGACCTGTCACCCCTCAGCCGGCGATGCTGCCCCGATCCTTCCCCCCAATCGCGTCCCCTCATCGCCCGGTCCCAACCACCCCCTGCCCCTCTCCCCCAGCGCGGGGGGCTCCAGGAATCCCCGCTCCGTGTTTTCCCCCAACTTTTCCCCACCGCCCCCCTCCTTCCCTCAGGCCCTGCGCCCCCCCCCCAACTCCTTCCCCTCCGCTCTCACCTCCGGGCCCTGGGAGAGGCCCCGCCGCCGCTGCGGCGCTGCTGGGAGGCCGGAGGGGCTCGGGGAGCGCTGTGGGGGCAGGAGCGGAGCGAGGGGACGGCCCGCGGACCCCGCAGCCCCCTCAGGAGACCACCACCGGCTGGGGATCACTATTTGGCAGCATGTCCTCCCCGGCCGGTCCCCGCCGAGCGCGACCCAAGGATCACTATTGCGCAGGTGCCCGCAGCAGCTCAGCGCGCATGCGCGGGGAGGGCCGAGGCGGCGGGGGGGGCGGCCCGGCGCTCCCCTCGCGGCCGCGCACGCGCAGCGCGCGACTGACGCCGGAGGCCACGCCCACCGCCTCTTATGGACCAGCGGCCCCGTCGCGCGAGACATTTCCTTCCCCCCGCGCATGCGCCGCCCTCCTGCGGCGCCGCTGGGGGATCACTTTGTGGCAGGCCCCGCTCCTGCCGTGCCTGTGAATGGATCACTTTGTGGCAGGCCCTGCGCCAGTGCGAAGGGAATGGCGTGAGCCGTGTCCCCTGCCCTCACGGCTCTGGGAGGGAGCACCCAGCTGAGGGAATGGCGTGTGCCATATCCCCATTCCTCACCGCTCTGTGAGGGGGTGTCTGACTGAGGGAATGGCCTGTGCCATCTCCCCTTCCCTCACGGCTCCATGAAGGACCAGCTGCCTCAGGGAATGGCCTGTGCCATCATCCCTCCCCTCACGGCTCCATGAGGGGATATCTGACTGCAGGAATGGCCTGTGCCATCATCCCTTCCCTCACAGCTCTGGGAATGGCCTGTGCCATCTCCCCTTCCCTCACGGCTCCATGAAGGACCAGCTGCCTCAGGGAATGGCCTGTGCCATCATCCCTTCCGTCACAGCTCCATGAGGGAGTATCTGACTGAGGGAAGGGCCTGTGCCATTGTCCCTCCCCTCACGGCTCCATGAGGGGCTGCCTGCCTGAGGGAACCATCTCCCCTTCCCTCCCGTTCCAGTGAAGGACTCCCTGCCCGAGGGAATGTTGCACTCTTAAGCAAGGTATTTATATTAACTTTTTGAGAAAGGGATTATACAGCAAACACCCTCTCTGTCTGCCATTCCAGGGTGTGAAACAAAAGCTTAGGAGAGACCTCGGAGACCTTTGAGCACCTACAAGAGGGTTGGCAAGGAAATGGGGCCAAGCGCGTTGCAGGAGGGTGAGAAACAAAAGTAAAAACAAGAAAGATTTAAATTCCAGATGAGAAATTTGTACATCACCACCACAGATGGGAGAGGTTGCCCAGAGAGGCTTCGCAGTCCCTATGGAGGTTTTCAAGGTCTGGTTAAATAAAGCCCTGAGACACCTTCTCCCCTTTCACAGGTGACCCTGCTTTAAGTCCCTTCCAACCCTAATTATCCCATGATCCCGAGATGTCATCTATGTACAGGGCTTCTCTAATTTGTAAAGGTTTTTAACCAGTGAAGCAAAATTTTCATCATTAGTAGTCCTTAATTATTTACATGTTTGCAGAGAAGCTTATCCTTTCTCTCCTGCCAGTTCCAGCCTCAGGGTGAATTAATACAATTACACGCAAATAACCGAATTAACCAGGCTCCACAATACATCCCACACTTATTTAAATGAGAAGTGCAGAATATTTCAGCCTCATCTCTCATTCTCTCAGATGAAAAACGCTGTTGCCCTCGGCACACTGGCTGCAGGACACTGGGCTGCCACTCTCCTCCACTGCTGATTCCCAGCATTGCCTGCTTTATTCCCAACGTTTTCTCCAGCATCCTGGGTTTTCCTGGCAAGTGCCTCATCCAAGTCATGACCAATCCTTGGACCCTGCTTCATTCCCTCGTTTCACAAAGTGCTGCCCACGGTGACAGAACAGCAGGTACTGCTGCATTGTGATGAAGGAATGCCATAAAACTGCCCCTCCTGAGCTACAGGCTTGGCATTAACATTCCTGGTCTGGCCACACATTTCTCCTAGGAACTTGTTTTCATACCCTTTCCATCACCCTGGGTTTTATGTTCCCACGTAAGCCGTGGATTTTTAGTGATGTGTTTATCCTCTTAGAGCTGAAGTACCAAAGGAAATTACAGCACCAGTTTTAGAGAAAACAAAGAGATTCCCCCTCCCCTCTCGATTCAAGCAGTTTCTAGACAGAATAAACAGAAATTCTCCTTTAATTCAGCACTGGCCAAGTATCACTTAGAGGGAGGTCAACTTCTTTTGGAGCTTATGATGTTCTCCTGATCAAAATTCCCTTGTTCCCAGGAAGCAGAAAATGAAATGGGGTACCTGCGAAAATGAAGATGGAACTTCACCTCTCCTCCGCATGTAAAATTTTTGGGGTCAGTTCTGTCCTCCTGGGTGGCAGGTACAAGAGCAATGTGGTCCCTCACTCTGCCCCTGTGCTGGGTCAGTCCTGGGATGAAGGGCTGGGCAATCCCAGGGGCTGAGCCCTGACATTTGGGGTGGGGATGGGCTGATGTGAGCGAGTGAGAGCACTGAGTTCTCAGGTGCCTTTGCTCTGGGTGAGACTCCCCTGAACCACACAGGGGGTTTTCCCCTCAGTGCTGATGCCCACCCTGGTTTGGGGGTGTCACCCTTTGCACATCCCGGTTTGATTTCCCTGCGACGCTGATTAAACCCAGGGCTGGGGAAGAGTCGTGTGCAAGAATTTTAACCAGCTCCTGCTTTTTAATATTCAACTTCCTCTTTGGTTTTAATTATTTTGTCCCTGCGTTTTCCCTTTCAATTTACTAAAACTCCAGAAATGTAATTAGGGAGAGGCTGAACCCGGAGAAAGCTGCCAGCGTTTCTACATCATGATTAAATGTATCAGCCGTGCCTTCAGTGAGAGGCTGAGGAACAGGAGTCTCATAATTACCTCCCTGTTATCCAGGAAAGAATCTGCCACACGTAGGGACACAGACTTATTGAAAATGCAGCACTAATTAAAATCTCATATAGGCTCCCCAGGATCGAGAGGATGAAAACAAGTTATTTCATTATTTCCCGGATTTGCCATCTTTGTTACAAAACCAAACAAACCCTTTCTAAACAAAGCCCATCTCAATCACTGGGGACACTTAATGAGGCTCTTAGAGATGCAACGGTAACAAACACATTGCAAGGTGCTGATTCCCCTCTCCTGGTACCAGGGAGACCCCCAGAACTCATTTTCCAGCTGTAAAGAGAAGGGAATGTTGCGGGAGAGCCACAAACTGGAACAGAACCGTGGCTGGCTTTGAGGGGCCAGTTTGTTTTAAATTGGAGCCATTAAGGATTCTTGATATTCCAGGCTTTTCTGGTTTAATTGTTAAATCACAGCCAGTGCTGACAGGGGTTGTGGGGGAGGGAGAGCTGTGAGATCCTGGGTGCTCCCAACCGTGGCAGTCGGAGCATCCTCCAGGGAAAGGAGCCTGGTTTGAGCTTTGCTTTCCCAACCCTTTTGCTCCAAATTTAATTTGCAGCAGAATGGCAAGTTCTGAGCAAGACACCGAGTCCAGGAGCCCCAGGTCTGAAAGCCTTCAGTGCTGGCTGGGGCAGGAGGGTGACTGAAATATCACCCACCTTTGAGAACTCCTACAAGTGTAGAGGGGTCAGGCAGCTCATTCATCCATATAAAAATAAAGCTGGGCAACTGGCTGCTTCCAGTTCCAAGGCAGAAATCCAGAAGGGTCTAGGAAGAATACAGGTGGCACTGGATGGGCTTTAAGGTCCCTTCCCACCTGGTCTAAAATTATAGGTACCTCCATTTTTTGGCCCTTTCTGACCCAAACATTCCCTGGAGTGTTCCAGTTCCAGGCTGTGCCCGTGCTCAGAGCTGTCCCAGGCTGGGCACTTCATTAATCAGCTCCTTCCTTCCTGACATTTGGATCCAGTGGCACCTGTGCCCCTCCAAATATAAAGGATGAACTTGCTCTGGCACAGCCACCACATCCAGCTTTAAATTCAGCACAAATCAGCACTTCCATGAGAAAATTCCTACCGGTGGTCACAGAATCCCAGAATTACTGAGGTTGGAAAAGCCCTCCAAGATGATCCAACCCCCACCTTGTCCCCAGCCCAGGGCACTGAGTGCCACGTCCAGTCCTTCCCTGGACCCCTCCAGGGATGTGACTCCCCCACCTCCCTGGGCAGCCCCTGCCAATCCCTGACCACCCTTTCCATGGAGAAATCCCTCCTAGTGCTGGGATAGTTCCCTTTCTCACACCCCAACCACTCAGAGCTCCTGCTATGCACATTTCTCACCCAAATTCACTCTTCTGACTTCGAAACACCACAAAACAACTTAGTCACTTTTTGCCTTGATTAAAAACTACTTCTCTTTGTGAGAAAACAAACATTGCTTAAAAAAACCCATAAATTTGACCTCCTTTAGAAAAAACTCTGACTTGGAGATTTTAATTGCAGGGAATCTGTTCCTTTTTGCTATTTTTACCTGTATTGGAAAAGTATCAAAGCTGATTTTTTTTTTAGGAGAGGAAATTATACTTTAAAATGCACAATTGTGAGGAAGTGACTCCCCAACGTCTTTGAGTTGGTGCTTTGTTTCTCCCCCTCAGAAGCATCTCCCGCCTCCCCCGATGAGCCTGCTCTTGTTTTTTAGGCTGCTTTGCTCCAGGATGCTTTTGATCCTGCCTTCATTAAAACCTCATCCTGCTGCTCCCCACCAGCCCGAACGGGCTGTGAAATGATTTCCCTTTCTCCGAGGAAGTTGTTAACTCTGGGAGCACCTGCAGGGTGGAGGAGCTCAGAGTGTTGTCAGCAATGCCCAGATTTATCCAAGATTCATCCCAGCCAGCCTTTCCCCCACAGCAGGAATCAACTCCTCAGTGTTATCCCAGCGATCTTCCCGGGTGGAGGGGTGGGAATGGGCTGAGGGTGACAAAAGACTTGGAAACTGAGGATGAGAGTCACTCTGCAGAACAGAACAGGGCACTCTGAACGAGCATAAAGGGCTCAAGCAGCTGAAAACAAAACAAAACTAAACAAAAAAAAAAGGGGGGGAAGTACAAGCAGCAAATAAAAAATAGGGACTAGTGAAGAGATTTGGTAAAGGGAGACCTGAAAGTCTGGACCTTCAGGGAGTAACAACAGTTAAGGAAAAGGGTTTTTAAGGTATCCACAAACTAAGAATTGTTCATCCCCTCAGCTCTGGGATTCAAACTAAACCACAGTTTATTATTTCTTATTTCCTGCTGGTGGAAGACAGGAGAGCTCCCTAAATCTGTGCTTTCCACACTTAAATATTAATATTCATTGTTACACTCAAATATTAACAACTAAAGATGGGCCCTGGGTGGCCCCTGCTCCTGTTCCAGCTGCAGGAACTCACTGGGGGCTCCAAACAAACCCCTTCTTTCCAACAAACCCACCCAGTTCTCTGCTGTAAAGGGGAGATCACAACATTTGATTAAAGGGGGATTCCCACCTGCACAAAAGCAAATCACCGAGTCCAGGGACCATCGTGGAAACCTTTCCCTGCTGTCCCCAAAGTTATGGACCCTCAGGATTGGCAGTTTGTTGACTTCAAAGGAATAATGACAATTCCTTGTCCTTCTTCACTGTTGTGACCAAAAAATTACCAACTCATTGATTTCAAAGGAATAATGACAATTCCTTGTCCATCTTTACTATCCTCTGACCAAAAAATTACCAACTCATTGATTTCAAAGGAATAAGGACAATTCCTTGTCCACCTTTCCCATCCTGTGACCAGAAAATCATCCCTTCCACAGTCACACCCACCTCTACAAACCCCCACCTTTCATCCCACCTCCTCTGTGCTCTCCAAACCCTGGGGCTTGTTTTGGACCCTCTGCTGATGGAGCTGGAGACAAACCCGAGGCAGAGGGAAGGAAAAGGGACAAGGTGCCAAGTTTTCCCCCCCTGTGGATCCACATCTGGGCTCTGGGACCAAACCTGCCCCTCCTTGGCTGCTGCACCAGGAGTTCCTCCTGCAGGGCCAGGGGAGGATCTGCCTGTTCTGCTCCTGGCTCCTCTCACCTCCCCAGAACCACCGGGAGTGACAGGGTTCCTGGGAGAATCCTGCCAGGAATGTTTCCCAGCAGTTGGAGTGCTGGGGATTCTCCCACAGCCCCAAACCCGCTCTGCTGGTGGCCAGAAAGGGCTGAACGGAGCAAACACGGAGGAAAACCTGGATTTTCCCCTTGGATTCGCTGCTCCCAACGACTCCAGAAGCGGAGTCACATCACGAATTAAAGAGGAGCTGCTGTTTTGTTGCTTTTCCTCCCGGAGTTCCTCGGGAATGGTTGAAATGAGAGTTCCCCCTGCTGGACACGGCCCATCCCGAGCGGGGTGTGCAGCCAAGGGAAAGCAGGAGAGAGGGAAAGGGAATCTCTGCAGAACTTCACGTTTTGTGCTTGCAGGGCTTTGTCTGAGGCCCCTCCCAAACTCCTCTCCCTCCCTGCTCTGCCTCTGCTGGGGCAGGAGCAAAGCACCACCTCGGCCACTTCCCTCTTGGAATAAGCACAGCAGGACTTGGCAGCAGGAGTTAAAGATCCCTTTGCCCAGCCTGGATTGCTGCAGGATCTGAGCTCCAGTGTCAACACTTGGGCCACTGCTCATCTCTGGAGGGCACAAAGTGCTTCCTGACACTTCACCCAAACCCCAACTTCCGCCTCTGAAGGACACTGGAGCTGTTCATGAAATGAACCAGAGCCAAGGATCTATTAAACACAATTATCTCTCTGCAGAAGGGCCTCCCCCCTCACAGGAGGGGTGGGGAGAGCAGGGAGGGAGAGGGAGAGAATTCCAGGGGCAGCTCAGGGAAGAGATCAAGGTCCCATCTGGAGGGACGAGAGGCCAAAGCCCCGAACAGATGGAGAGCAAGAGGCAGCTGCAGGAACAGCCTTTCATGTGCAAAGTTTGCTCCTTGGAGAATCCCACTCTGGAGCATCTCTGGATAACAACTCCTCCCCTCTGGAGCAGGGATGCTGTTCATTAACCGGGGCCCAATTAAGCAGGGCCCTGTAATTAACTGTTGTCCCCTCAGCTGGGCAGCTCTGGCAGCTCTGGCTGGGGGGGGAAAGAATGAATTTGGGCCCCCTGGTTAAGCAGGTTCCCTGGGAAGCACCAGGAATTCTGGGGTGGAAGGGCTGGGATGAAGGACATCGGGATCTCCCAATGGATGAACGTCCCACCGGCTGCTCCGACTCCCTCATGGAAAACCACACAGCCAGGGGGGCTTTTCTCCAACCTTTAATCCAGGGATCACTCCAGGCCACGCCAAAGAACTCACGGAATTCTGGGCTGAACCCAAAACCAACCGCAATCAAAAGTTCGGGAAGAGTGGCCATTGGCTGTTTTTCTTTAATAAAGATATGAAGGATTTGTGGTTTTTGTCCTGTTAAGGCAAGAATTTCCTGCTGCTGCTCGGCTCCGATCACAGAAAACCAACGGGAAAAAAAAGCTTAATTACGCTCCAAATTAAAGTGTTACATCTGTAGGACAACTCAGAATTAAAAAACTGAAACAAACCAACAAAAGATTCCACACAGTCTCCTCCTGATTCCCTCTCCTGAGTCCAGTTGAA